GTTGCTGAACTTGAAAAGTGTCGTTTTCCTCAAACTTTCAATTTTGTGTTAGTAAGCTTGAAAATTTTAGAACATCTTGATTAAGTGAACGAACTATTAGACACAACATTAAAAATTTAATGACCTATTAGAAGCAAAATTGAAAATTTAATGACCTATTAGAAGCAAAATTGAAAATTTAAGAATGTATTAGGCGTTCTTTAGAGCTCAAAGAATTATCATACACAAAATTGAAAGTTGGTTGATCTATATTAGTTCATAGACTAAATAGACATAAATATGAAACTTATGATCTTCTTTGTTGGATTTGGATTTAAAATATGGAACTCTGTCTCATCATGCATTTTCTTGATCATTTTCCCTTCTTTGTGTAGATGATAATGAGTTCGAGGAGATCGACATTGTCAGTACAAACGATTTCTACCAATCTCGTGAAGCCGATTCTGGGAATTGGTAAGGACCGAAAGTTTTCTTCTACCATGTGTGGTAGTTTATGATGTTCAGCCATCAAGCTTGTGGTGTATTATTGAAATAACTGTTCTATCAGTTGGATGGAATTGAAAATGATGCATAAGAAAGTAGACTTCATGCAGGATTAGATATCGTAACTCCATGCATTCTCTTTGTTATCCCCCAAAAGTTGCATTGCTGATTGAACTCATTCATGCATTGCTACAAGTTCTATAATATATATGAGTTGAGAATTTTGTTAGGACCTTTTTAATTTCCTTTAAACTATATGAATTTGGTTTTTAATTGACTCTTTTTCTTATTCATATGATCTTCACAGTGGTGATGGTTTCAAAATACTGTGAGTTTTGATGTTTTTGTTAGGAATCATGACTCTCCACGATGGTATGATATTGTCCACTTTGAACATAAGCTCTCATAACTTTACTTTGGGCTTCTCCAAAAGGCCTCATACCAATGGAGATAGTATTCCTCACTTGTAAACTCATGATCTTTCACTAAATTAACCAATGTGGGACTCACTCCCAATAATCCTGAACAATCCAACAATTCTCCCCTCGAACAAAGTACACACTATAAGCCTCCCCTGAAGCTTATGGAGCTCTCGAATAGCCTCCCCTTAATTGAGGCTCGACTCCTTTCTCTGGAGCCCTCGAACAAAGTACACCTTTTATTCGACACTTTAGTCATTTTTTACTACACCTTCGAGGCTCACAATTCTTTGTTCGATATTTGAGGATTCTATTGACATGGTTAAGTTTAGGACATGACTCTGATATCATGTTAGGAATCACGACTCTCCACAATGGTATGATATTGTCCACTTTAAGCATAAGCTCTCATGGTTTTGCTTTGGGCTTTCCTAAAAGGCCTCATACTGATGGAGATAGTATTCCTCATTTATAAATTCATGATCTACCACTAAATTAACCAATATTCCTCACTTATAAACCCATGATCTTCAACTAAATTAACCAATGTGGGACTCACTCCCAATAATCCTCAACAATATATTAATAGATTGTTTCATGTTTTTGCATGATATTTAAATCATAATCTTATTAGTTCTGTTTTATTACTATTTAGCTTTCTTTTTTATTGAAAATTTTGTTTGTTTGTTTGTTTTTTTTTCACAATGTTTTTCATTTTTATTTTAAAAAAATATTCGAATTCTTAGTCTATGTTCAAAAAAGCAAAGTTATTCAAGAAAAAAAAAATTGTTTTAAATGTTGATAGTACATTACAAAAACAAAAAAAAAATGAAATAGCTATGTTTTTAGGAAGTGAGTGCCCGGTTGATTTTCCTCCAAGTCGAAGCCTCTTATTTTACCTTCTCCCAATAGGGCTAGAAGGGAACCCTCCCTCGTAAAAAGGTACTCCTTCTCCAGCGACCACGGAGAAGATCCCTTCTAATAGATGAAAGACCAAGCAAAGCTCGGGTAGAATTTCAAATTATGGGAGACTTGGTTTCACGAATAGATGGAGTACATTAGAGATAACCCTATAATTTGCTAATAAGTCTTTTGGCATAATATACCGTCATTAAAAAAAAAAAAAAAGTTTCCTCTCCCTCTCTTCTCGCTATATTTATTCCTATGTTGATTGTTTTTATTTTTTATTTTTAGAAATCGAAAGATTAATTTTTAACTTAAATGATAAGTTTAATTTTTGAACTTTCAAATTTATGTCTATTTGATCTTTGAACTTTAAAATGAGTCTAACTTTAAAAGAATATCACGTAATTCCTCACGGTAAGTTTTATTAGACATAAATTTTAATTTTATATACAACACAATAATTAGTTTTTTTTAATGTTTTCAAAGAATAAATTCTAAAGAATTAAGAATTTATGTCTTTTAAAGTCAAAATTAATATATTTGAAAATGTATCATACACTTTTTAAAACTTGAACACATACAAAACAAAACTTAATTTAACTTAATTTTTAATATAAATTTTATGTTTATTGCAAGTTTTGTAAAATAACGACCTAAATTAATGGAGGGATTCTAATTTTCTTTTATGGGAATTTAATTAAATGATTAGATATATGCCAAGAATAAGAAGAATTTCATTGTAACGTGCTAAGAAAATGTTGGGTGAAAGTAGTTTTATTTTTTTTTACTGCAGTAGTTATTTACATGGTAATTTTTAGTACTTGGTATAGATTGGGCGGTTTCAAGCGCCTTTGGGAGTGCGACATAAGCCTCGTTGAACACCAAATGTGGTGATGTTGCCTTTTAACTTGGGTTGGCTTCGGGATGGTTGATGATTGGTACGACGATGAAACATGCAAGGTGGGGTGGAGCTGGGTGTCACGGTCTTACATTTTTTACTATGCGGCGTCGTGATCTTGACACGCTCACGACTAGCCTTAAGGGGGATTAAGTACCATATATATTTTTCGCCCCAACTTTATGGCTTTGTCGGACCTTAGGCGAGGTTTGTCTTCGCCAATCGAACATCGCTCGTGCGGAATCCGAGCTTGCTCCACCACACACGGCGCCTGCGCGAGCATGTTTAATCGTCTGCGACACAATCGACTTGCCTCTACACTAGGCCAGGTCATTCGGCTCGACCTTGTCTTTGCTCAGGCCAAGTTCTCTCAATGCAACGTCGCATCTCATCTTGTCATCTCGATCCTCATCGACGGGGTTCATATGTCTTGACACCATCCCGAGTCTTGGGATGTCGTCGGCCATCATAACTCGCTCGATTATGCCATCGAGAATGGGCCCGCGTGTCGTTCATTCGAGTTCTACCGAGGCATTGGGCCTCCCGTGCCCATGCCGACTCATTTACGGATATCGTACCGGATAGCGAGTGTATGTAGCAACCTCCAACACGTGGGCTGAGGCGCAGTACCAGCACCCACGTGTCGTCCGGTACTATCCTTCAAAAACTCATTTTGAAGGAAGTCGCCCGAGACACTCGTCTCAGCACACTCGCCCACATTGTGACACGCATATGTGCCACAAAGTAGCTCACTTAGGTCACAGGGCCCAGGGGCGGTGGAAAGCTAACACCATGATACCCCTCTAGTACATTTTGAGCCATTTTCAATCTTCCAGCATAGACATGATTTTGGTGAACGGTCATACGGTGTCGTGCATTGTCCGTCTGGTGTCCGATTGACATCAAACTTGGCGAACATTCATATATTTTATATGGACGGACTTAACTCCCAGATCGCATACCCAAATTCCTTCAAGAACTCCGACTTTCGAGGTTAAGGCCCGGGACCCTACTCGGCCCTTCAACAAGCCTATCTTTGCCTTTCATGTCTATTTGATGTCTCTATCTTGTTTATGTCCCAACTTATCTTCAATGCCCACCTCGCATGGTGGTGTGTGTTGAACACAACTCACTGTGGGAAACACTGACACTCTTTATTAAGACCAATCGAGAAGAGAATACAAGACACTCTATAGAATACTACTGCTTCTTATTGTTTTTGGATTTCTTGGATGAATAACCTAGGTAGGGTGGGGTATTTATACTTAGCCTAAACAATCTATATTTAACCAATCTAAATCTAGACCTAACAAATCTAAATCTTTCTCCTAAAATATTTAGATCTCTCTCTCCTAAAATCTCTACTAAAATAAATACACTGGGCTCGTACAATTATTGGGCTTGACTCTATTGGGCTAGTACAATTATTGGGCTTGACTCTATTGGGCTAGTGATGATATTTCAACCGTGTGTTGGATGATGCACCGTCCTTCTCGATCGCATCATGACACTCTTCTATATTGGCCCGCATGTGACCGGGGAAGCCGCTTTGCTTGTCATGATGTGAGGGTCACAACCTACTCTCTTCATATTATAGTTGTGACACTGAGTGCCCTTGGGTGTGTGACATGAACCTCGTTGAGTATGAGACTTTGCGGTGATGCCTCCCATCCTTGGGCCAGTGTTTTGAACGCAGCGTGAAGAATAAATTTCATAAATTTAACTACGAGTTCATTAAATACAAATTAAAATGCATATCTATTTTAAAGCTCAACTTTGCACAACACGTAAAAAATGACTCCAATATCTTCTATAATTTTTCTTGAAGAGCTCACCATAGCTTAAATATACGTGACTAAAACTCATTGTAATTTCTTGGCTCTCCTCCTTATAATTGGACCTTGAAGTATAACAATTTATCGTAGTTCATATGAACGTCGAGACCATTTGACTCTATAAACAACAAATTTTGTATAAAAGCTATAGTTTATTGGAAGGTGAAAGTTCCACATCCGCCAATTTAGGGAATGATCATGCATTATAAACAAAAAATACTCTCTTCATTGGTACGAGGCCTTTGGAGAAGCTCAAAACAAAGCCACGAGAGCTTATAAGTGGACAATATTATACCATTGTGAAAAAACAAAGCCACGAGAGCTTATAAGTGGACAATATTATACCATTGTGAAAAGTACATAGTTATCTTCATTTTTTATTAATATAAAAAAAATAAAAAAAATAAAAAAAAAAGAATAAATAAACTAACAAGTGCTAACGGATTGAGTTTTTCTGAGTGTTCTATATGTCCATCCGAATTCCAAATTCTGAAGGTGCAATCTCCTGCCTTCGTTCTTCTTGGGCTACAGCTACTTCACTCCCTCCGCCATGGCTCTTCTTCCCTTCAACCTCTCTCTCGGATGCCCTAACTCTTCACTCTTCTCTGCAACTCCCAGGCTCATGTCTCCTCGGCTTCCACCATTTCGTGTCTCATGCGCTAAACGCACCGGCAAGAAGAGGTATCCATCGGAGAAGAAGAAGCTCAAGTTGAAACACAAAGAAGTCCTCACGACCGTCGAGAACAAGTTCGAAGGCATTTGGAGGCTCTTCAAGCTCGGAGTTCCTGTAGAGAAGGATCCTGGCAAGGATTTTCATGGACTCTCGGATGCTCTGATGCAAGAGATTGCTAAAGTCCTCGAGTTTCCGGTAATTTTGACTGCTTCGATGATTTTTTTGGTTGATAATCCGAAATTGAGTGGTTATATGTTGGTAAACACTGCGAGTCAATTTTCTTTTTGTTTCCTTGTTTTCCAGGTTGCTTCGTTGCTGCCACGGGAAGCTTTCTCGGTTATTCGTAAATCTTTTGACGCTAGAAAGGTATGTTTAGGGATGTTCATCTGATTTTTATCATTTATTTTATGCCTGTTGTTTAGATGGAATAGTTGATTATCAAGGAGTTCTTATGTTTTGCTTCCAGATGTTGAAAGAACCAAAGTTTGTTTATACTGTGGACATGGATGTAAATAATTTACTGATTCTAGAACCTCGTGCTCGGGATTTCATTTCGGACTTGGAGCCTAAAGTTGGATTGATAGAACATATTGTAAAAGAAAAGGTTTCCAATGATGTAATCAGTATCGTTCATGATCTCAAAAGCAATCACGAAGTGGTGGAAGAAAGCGGGCTTAACGGTCACTCTGGTCCTTTCATGCGTTTGCCAAGTAGTAAACCAAAAATTGCTGTTGTTGGCAGTGGGCCATCGGGCCTTTTCGCCGCTCTTGTCCTTGCAGAGTTTGGAGCTGATGTTACCTTGATTGAAAGAGGTCAACCAGTTGAACAAAGAGGGCGTGATATTGGTGCATTGGTAGCTCGTCGGATTCTGGAACTGAATAGTAATTTTTGCTTTGGGGAGGTGATTAATTTTGCTTATTTTATCATCATTTCCACTGTCTTGTTTGGTTATAAGTTATGTATGCATCACATTATTGCTTTATTCGAATTTCTTGCTTTCAACCAATGCTATTTCCCCCTAAACAAAAAGAAAATGAACTGTATGATAGTCAATGATGATTTTATCCAAACAAAACGTCTATGATTGAACTTCACTGTTGTGTGAATGTCAGTTTATTTCCTTATTTATTTTTGGTATTCTTGACTAGATCTATATGCACAGTCAATTGGGCATCTTTTATGTTTTTCTCACTGGCATACTGTTGTGTGGTCATTTGATGGTCTTGCTTTTTTCATCAAAGATATCATGATGCTTGGCTCTTCAGTTTTTTTTATCTTTTGAGTCATTCATTTAGAACTTATGCATGGCAGGGTGGTGCAGGTACCTGGAGTGATGGGAAATTGGTCACTAGAATTGGTAGAAACAGTGGCAGCGTGCAAGCGGTTAGACTTTTGCACCCTTGTAAATCCATTAGTTTTTTTAATATTAGTGTCATAAAATTAGTTGTGCTTTTATAGTAAGGGACCTAAATCTTTGAATGGCCATCATGTAGTTTCTGCATGGTGCCTGTTCTTTGTTACAATTCTTACTTCCTTTGTCAGTTGTGTAGAAAAACAAGGAATTTGATATGAGTTTTCCCTATAAATGTTAAAATAAGAATCGCAGATAGCAGCACTATCTCTGTTCCATTCTGCATATCTTCTACCCCTGTATTCATTTATTCAAATTTCCATGCCCTTTGCATGGCTTCAACCTATTTTCTTATTTTTGAACTTCATGTCATCTAAAATCAACACCATAAAAAGATAGCCTGCTTTCTCACCTCATTTTGCAATGTATTGCAATGATATTATCTGCTTTATCTATGATATCGCTGGACAACTGAATTTTATGTTTTCTTTCTAGGTTATGAAATCTTTAGTTCATTTTGGGGCCCCAGAGAATATCTTACTTAGTGGAAAGCCTCACCTTGGAACAGACAGGTTGGTTCCATTACTTAGGAACATACGGCAACACTTAGAAATGTTGGGTGTGAGTATCTACCTTATTTCCATCCTTGTAAGATCAAATATTTTCTGATAGTTCCACGATTGTTCAGTTTTTCCCTTAATTTTTATGACTTGATTAGGCCACTGTCAAGTTCGGGACTAGGGTTGATGATCTAATTCAAGAGAGCGGACATGTGGTGGGTGTTAAAGTTTCTGATTCAAGAGATAAGTTAAAGCTCAACAGCCAGAAGCTTGAATTTGATGCCACTGTCCTAGCTGTTGGCCATTCTGCACGGGATGTATATCAAATGCTTATGTCTCATAACATTCCCGTGGTTCCCAAGGAGTTCGCCGTTAGTTCTTTTCTTGGTCCCTCTTGTTTTGTGGATAACTTGGCTTCTTGCATCTATGCATGCTTTCTTTGAACCAAAAAAATGTGGATGCTAAAATAATGCTGGAAGTACATACCTGGATTCACTTTGTTGTGCTAGATTTATTGCCGGATTACTCCTCTTTTATGAAATCTCACATTGTTGTCCTCCATGTCTGAATAGGTTGGCTTAAGGATCGAGCATCCTCAAGCATTAATAAACAGCATACAGGTTGGTTTTATTGATTTGTTTAAAATCGATTGCCTTTTACTATATTTTCCAACTAAAAAGAATCAAGAAAGAATCCAAAACTTCCAAAAATTATGTTCGATGCATTCCAATCAAACAATTATGGTGATGTACAGATTCATGGAAGCATGCATACAAATTGAGTCAGTTTTTATTATTTTTTTATTTTTTATAAATAAAAGTCAACAAAACTCTGCAACTATTCTAATACTCAGTTGATTTTTGTTCCAAAATTTTCTTTCTTAACTACTTTTTTTTGGTGGGGGACGCGAAAAGTAAACTTCGCTGTTATCCATTTTCCCGGATGTGTTATTTTCCATTACATATATGTTTCACCTTGTTTGAAGATTTAAACCTGATCATATATTAAAATGCAGTATTCTGGATTGGCCAATGAGGTAGAGAAAGGACGTGGGAAAGTACCGGTGGCAGATTACAAAGTTGCCAAGTATGTTAACATAGACACGGAGGATCCATCCTCCAATTCTGTTGCAGCAAATCGCAGTTGCTATTCATTTTGTATGTGTCCTGGTGGCCAGGTAGGTTTCTCAATTGATTGCCATGACCAAGAATGCATATTTTAAAGACTGGCTTTAGGTTGGGAGCTCATCTGGTATCTGATTACTGTTGGGAGCTTGTCTGGTATCTGATTACTGTTGAGGATTGTTGGGAGGGAGTCCCACATTGGCCAATTTAAAGAATGGTCATGGGTTCATAGGAATACATAAGTAAGGAATACATCTCCATTAGTATGAGGCCTTTTGGGGAAGCCCAAAGCAAAGCCATGAGAGCTTACTATTGTAGAGAGTCGTGATTCCTAACGATTATACCATAATTGGATGATTTGGCATTGATCGGTGTGCAGTTATGGAAAAAAAAAAAGAAAAAAAAAGTCACTTTTTAGAAGAGCTAAAATTTAGATACTTTCTTAGTGTCACATCTGCATCGATTCATGCCCTTTATGTTAGAAAACGGCCATTATTTTCTCTCTAATTTCTGATACTTCAGAAAAATAGAATTTAATACGTTGAAGTGTAGCCTCATTAGGAAACTGGCATTCCGTGAATTCACCATTGTTTCTTAACGAATTTTATCATTAATCTCTGTCAATATAATTTGATATGTCATTTCTAGGTTGTCCTCACTAGTACAAACCCCGGAGAACTTTGTATCAATGGCATGTCATTCTCTCGACGTTCATCAAAATGGGCAAACGCTGCCCTTGTTGTCACTGTTTCAACTAAGGATTTTAATGATCTCGGCTTCCACGGACCTCTTGCCGGGGTTGAATTCCAGGTAGCTTTTCTGTGTTCTCTCACTTTATCCGAACATTTTATCTCTTCTGGCAACTGAACGCTCTCTCCGATGTTTTGAGGAATAGATTGTTGTAGTTATGTAGTTTTTCATTTAGACACATTCCCATCATGTGATCATAATAAATTTATCTTCTCCTAAAATAACTTCAGCTATTAGATATCAGTTACTTTACCCACGTACTGGCTTTCAGAAACGATGTTACGTATTTGAATTATAATATTTTCTTGTCAGAGAGAGTTTGAGCGAAGGGCAGCCCTCATGGGAGGTGGAAATTTTGTTTTGCCTGTGCAGACAGCTACTGATTTTATGGACAGGAAGTTAAAAGGTATGTCGAGTCCCCAATCTCTGAAACTTAAGAAGCACAATAAGTCTAGACTCAGAGATCTTCTCAATACCTGACATACAAATATACTTCTTAATTATGAGTGAAACACTGAAATGTTTCGGGGTTTTAAAAAAATTTAAACCAGGGTTGGGAATTCGAACAGAGCTATGCCCACATTGGCATGATCATCTCTGCACATTCATTATCAGCACGATTATCTGTCCTAAACTTCATTTTACCAGCTGTTTCCCTCTCTTAGATTGATTTTTTTTTTCTATTCTTTTCTATTTTTCATTTTCTTCTCAGTAACATCCGTGCCGCCATCAAGTTACCGGTTAGGAGTGAAGGCCTCAAATCTCCATGAGTTATTCCCTGGTCATATAACAGAAGCTTTACAGCAATCTATCCTAGCATTTGATAAAGAGGTTCTCTCGTAACTATCTCTGTGACGGCATGGATTTTCTTTATTATCCTAACTCATTGACCTTTTTCTTTCCAAATTTTGGGCGTTCAGTTACCAGGTTTTCTCTCAAGTGACGCCCTTCTACATGGAGTGGAGGTAGTTTTTCTACTGTTTATTAGTCATTTTGGTTTCAAGGGTTGTCTAACCCCTTTTCTCTTTAAATGTCAAATGGATCTATCATGAAAAAAGTATTAATGATATTCCTTTAAAACGTATCTAGAATTTTAAAAAATTGAGGTGCAAATTGGTTTATTATTTCTTTTATTTAAAAAAGATATGGCTAAATTATAGGCTTAGGTCTTAAACTATGTCTAATAATTTTTTAAAACTTAAGTGTCTGATAAGTTTTAAAATTTCTTGAAAAGCAAATGTCGTATCAATTTTGTACTAACACATTCATGAATCATAGAAAATCATAGAAAAAGTTGAATAGGTTTAAATTTTATTGGACAAAATTGAGGATTTAAATTTTATTGGACACAAAATTGAGAGTTTTAACTTAAAAGACTTATCCGATGAGCTTATTAGACATAGAATATGAACATTTGGACTTGCAAGGCACAGTTTAAAACCTATTAGTCATGTTTAGGCTAAACAGATAATTTGACAAAACATTGTTAACCAACTAAATATCAGAATCGCTATTCATTAAAGTTAATTTTGTTTTCAGACGAGAACAAGTTCCCCTGTTCAAATCCCACGCAACTCCGAGACTTATGAAAGCACATCTCTTAGAGGACTCTACCCGGTTGGCGAAGGAGCAGGCTATGCGGGAGGAATTGTAAGTGCGGCAGTCGATGGCATGTACGCCGGCTTCGCTGTGGCTAAGAATTTCAATCTTTACAATGGTGACCTTGAGACGGTTTTGGGTAAGGCTCAAAGTTCTGGGTCCGTAATGTACTAGAGCTAATCCGGTTCACTTGCCAGCAATAGAAGAGCCTGTGACTGCAAATTGGTCAATCTCTGCATGCCAATTCCCGCAAGCCCATCTAAATCAATCAGGTTCTTCATTCAACCTAACTGTAGAGGTACCTAAAACTCTGTTAATCGTTTCTTGATGTGCTACAAGCCTAGGTCATTTTTAAAATTTTCTAGCATAAATAGAGCTAGGTTAAAAATAAAGTTCAAGTTCTTTTTGGTCCTAGAGTTTTGAACCTTATATTTTAGTCATAGTGCTTTATAAAAACTCATTTTTTTAGTTCATCAATTGGAATGAAACCATCGACTTTTAAGATAGTAATTAATGTTTTATCCAATGAGCATCCTCGAACCGATAACTTTATAAAAACATTATATTAATTGTCATTGTTTTTTTAATAAATGATTTAGGAGACAAGCATATTCATTTACTTTGATCAATAGATACGTATGTCCGCACAAACAAGTATTTAAAGTCACATTTAGTAACTTAGATTTTCTAATTTATTTAGTTTCTTGTTATATGATTAATAAAAAATTAACACTAAAGACAAATAATTTTTTAAAGCAACATTAACAGACTCAAATATAATACTTAAAAGTTGAAGGACAAAAATATAATGTTTGAAAGGTTAGGGACTAAAATATTATAAGTTTGAAAGTGAGATAAGAAAGAGGTAAAACTAGGATTAAAATAGGTTGGTTTTAAAAATAATGATTAAACTAAGACACTTTTTACCAGGTGCAACAGTAGGAGATATATTGGTAAATCATGTTCACTACTAGTTACTTGACATGATTTTTTGGTAAACTATCCTATTCGCATTAATTTTTAAATTGCTGCTATTTCTGTTATTTTTGCCAGAAAGTTGCATTAAATAATGGCATCCATTCTAGGTGATAATTTGTATCTGAGCATACCCTTATAATGAAAACTGGCATGCTTTTTGGAATCACCCTTACTTTTGGCCTTCAGGAGCATGGAGTTCCATTGTAGTAATCCAAACGAGGCTCTGCATCATGTTGTTTGATTTGAGGTGGAGACATACATCTTCTACGTTGTAAATATGCGACAATTAAACGAGTTGCTCGGATCATGTATTGCTGCTGTTTGATTTTGACTGATTTCGAGAGAACTCTACTTGGTCGAGGTAAGTGCTAATTTCTTTTTCTAAACTCATCGTTTTATTTTGGTTAAATTACAAGTTCACTTCAAATTTAGGATTGAACTTATGGGTCTTAAAACTTTCCATTTTTGTATTTAATACTCTTGACTTTAGAAGCATCAAATAGATTTTTTGACTTATTCAACCGTTTTTTTTAATTCATAAAATTGTTAGGCCACAATATTGAAAGGTTAGTGTTTTAACGGACGCCGAACTGTTTCTTTTTTTTTAAATGTCAAATAGGTTAAGGATTTAGTCTAGATTTTGTTAGACTAAAGTTTCCACTAAATTTTATTTATTTATTTTTATCTATTCGTGTTGTTATTATTATTATTATTATTATTATTTTGTGGTAATTCAATCAAGACTTTCTTCTTATCTTGAGCTTTTGGGTACATACATAGTTCTTTGGAAGTATTTTATAAAAACTTTTCTGAATCTCTCTTTTTCTTTAATTTATTTTTATCTTATTTTCTTACCCTAACATTTAAAATATCTGAGTTGATTTTTTATTCCAAAATCCTATTTTAAAACAATTTTCAGCCTCAAGTGTTAAAGAATGCTTTAACTTGTAGCTTTTGTTCCAAGTGTCAGCTGTTTTGATGTCATTATTTCTAGAGTGGAAAGAAGTCAAATAAAGTATTATGTAATTGCCTTTTCTTTTTAAGCAATGCCAACTTGTGTCAAAATTATTGCTCAAAATAGACCTTTTTATATCTTTATGTAGACTTAATATAGCCTCTTAATTAATTTAGATGTATTTTCTAAAAATTATTTTAAAAGCATGTTCGCAGATTTTTTTTTTTTTTTTGGATGAAAGTCCCACGTCCGATAATCAGAATGATCATGAGTTTATAATTAAAGAATACTCTCTTCGTTGGTTTGAGTTCTTTTGGGAAAGCCTAAAGCAAATCTATGAGAGCTTATGCTCAAAATGGACAATATCATACTATTGTGGAGAGTCGTGTTCATTTAACATGGTATTAGAGTCATGCCCTAAACTTAGACATGTCAATAAAATCCTCAAATGTCGAACAAAGGACTTCAAAAGAAAAAAGAGTCGAGACTCCTCGAAGGCATAGTAAAAAATGACTAAGACTCCAAAAGAAAACGAGTCGAGCCTCGATTAAGGAGAGGTGTTGGGTGAAAGCCTCACTTCGGCTTATTTAGGGAATGATTATGGGTTCATAATCAAAGAAAATGGATAATATCATAGAATTGTGTTCATTTAAGATTTTTTGTGCTTCTTTTTTATTTATAGATTTTGCATATTAATTTATTATATAATACTTTTTTAATTATTCATTATTCACTCCTGTGTGTTTGGCTTAGATTGTTAATTTACATTAGATTTTGATGTTCATCAAATTGAATCATAGATGTTGAAAAAGTTTGAATTCATATCTTCTCAAAATTTAATTAGATAATTATGCATGAATTAATTACCATAAAATTTAAGCAATAGAAATTCTTGAACTCGGCTACAAACTCAACTATAGCAAACCAAAAGAACCACCAATAAAAGGAACCTTCTCGAGTTACAGCAGATGAAGGTACGAAACTCATGGTCGTTTATAAGTTTATGGTATAATTTGGTCGTTTATAAGTTTAGGGTATAATTTGATGAAAGTTAAAATTGGCTATGGCTCATATCAATGTTACGTATTAGGTTGGAAGTAAAATACAATTGAAATATCATGTTTGTTTCATATGTAGCAGAGGGAGTGCTTTTGGATCCCATAGGACATCAACTCTGGAAGATTCTGCATATTATTATTGGTATGTATTGATTTATATTTTTCTGTATTTCTACAAAAATATTATTGCCAATATTAGCAATAGCATAAAACTTCGTTTCCGTAAGTAATCGAGTTTCATTGAGAGATTTGAATTAGAAAGAAACGACATATAGAGACGAGTCTTTGAAAAACTCTCCTTTGTAATCGAATCAATGAGAGAAACATGGTTAGGAATCGGCCTAATACAAAAACTTTTGTGAGATCCCACATCAGCTAGGAAGGAGAACGAGACACTCTTTATAGGATGTGGAAACCTCTCCCTAACAGACGACGTGTTTTAAGGTTTTGAGGGGAAGTCTGGAAAGGAAAGTCCAAAGGGGACAATGTCAGTTAGCGGTGGGCTTGAGTCGTTACAACTTTCCTTTCTCATGAAAAGGGAAGGTTGGAGGACCTCCTAGAATCTCGATGACGAATCTACTTTCCTTTCTCATGAAAAGGAAATGTTGGAGGACCTCCTAGAATCTCGATGACGAATCTATGAGATCCTAAAAGGAATCTCGAAAGGAAAATTTTAGACTCGTAGCAATTTAAATCTGGCACTAAAAAAAATCAATCGAAATTAAATGACGGTTTAAATTATTTAACGAGACTTTGTAATTTATAATAATATTGTTGATTTTATTATTTTTATTTAACTCAATTTCTTTTCTCAAAGCTGTAAATTGTTTTATTTCTTTCACTTCTGTAACCAAAAGCAAGAGGGAGCGTGTGGGCCCTCTCCGGGGAACATCGATCCGGCAGTTCCACGGTACCTTGTCATGCTCCCTTTTGTAGACAATTAAGACAATGAACACTTTGCTTCAATGAATTATTTGCTCAATTATAGAAAATATTACTTTAAATAATTACTAAATAATATTTTTTATTTTTTACAAATGTTTAAAATATTTTTACTGTGAAGCGTTGAATGAAAAATGTTAAGGGTTTGTATATATTTTTTTAATTATAATAGGGTCGTTACTATATGCATGACATGACTGTTAATTACGTATATATTTATTTAAAAATTTTCATATCAGGAATTTTAACATTTGTAATAAAATATTTAAAACAATAAAGTGAAATTTTGAATAAAATAAGAAAGGAATAATCTAGCCTAAGAGTTACAAATAGCCGGGATGCATCTACCATCTCTTTAATCACAGTCGTCATCGTAACATCGTCATCTGTGCAGAGGTGTCTTACCTTTATGTGAAAAAATAAGAGTAGCATGTAGATTGAGTATTTTAGAATGCAATCATGTTTCAGACCTATCATTGTATAAAACATCATAACATGGCCTTAGTCTCACCTTTCAGTACTTTTCTAGATGCAGTCCATGTATACGCTCATGGACTCCCAAGCGAGCTTTTATGCATACCTCTGGACTTACCTTCGATTAATGTACACTCATGCTGTCGGTATACCACGGAGAGAAGGGAGTGTGCATAGTATCATGTTGTACATAGTACTGTATCGTAACATCATAGTAGTCAGTATGCAATGTAGAACTCAAATGGGAAGATGCTTGGAGAGACGACTTATGCTCAAAGTGAACAATATCATGCTATTGTGGAGAGTCGTGATTCCTAACATGTTATTGGTTCAAATCTATCTCTAATTGAATGACCGACAAACTTCAGGTTAAACAACTTAACATGCGAGTATTTAATCAAGTCTATGGTCTAATCTAATAAAAATTAATACGTATCTTAAACGTGTTCATCAATAAATTTTAACATGAGGTAGAAATATCTCAAAAAAATAGCTAAGAATTTCTAGCTACTCACGGGATTTTTCGCGAACCCAACCGTTTCACTACAATTTTAACCACGAATTAGCTTAGACAATTTCCATTTTTTTTGTTAGTTTTATGTCGATTTTCTTTTTCTAAATTCATTAAATTTAGTAGATGTTATTGTTCAATTGGCGAGCAGAAACGATTACCATCACAATTCGGTAATTTTGATGGTAAAATGACGTTATGAAACACCGTGGAACATCGAATATTGGTTGTTAAAGTGTCGTCGGAGGAACGCCTGGAAATAGCAGCATAGTCGAGCAAAGGAGAAGGATCCACATCTTTCTGGACATCTATTTAGTTTTTTAATTGCAAGCTCGGGTGGTTGATTGTGAGATTTTCTTTTATTCCAATTAAATAAAACATGTTATGGCTACCCGATACTATTTTGAATGATTTCTATTAAAACGTAGGAGTTTACTAGAAGGTAAAAATTATTAAAATAAAAATTATCTCACCAAAGGTAAAAAAAATGATATTTTTCCAAAAATATATGTAGATAAATGTTTTTTTTGGTGTGAAAATTAATTTTTACTATTTTTTACCGTTCCTTAGGAAACAAAATAATAGCTAGTTATGACAATCCTTTACCATTTCTCTATTCCTTCACCATTGTTTTACCATATTTGATCCTTTACCATTTCTCTATTCCTTCACCATTGTTTTACCATATTTGATGTTGACATTATTTCAAGTAAAGTTTTTATTTTTGTTTTTGTCTAAAAAAAATTAATGTCAAAGAGTTTTAAATATTAGTCCTAACACTTTTTTTTAGGTAAAGACGTCTCAGTATTTGGATAAGGATTCGAAATTTTGATTTGACACCGGATCGAGTTTTTTAAATAGTAGTTCTTTTCCTAACAGGTAAAGACAAGAGATCACGGGTCGGCCTGTGCCTAGAATTTGGATCAGGATTTGAAATCCTGATTTGACACTTGATAGAGTTTTTTAAATAGTAGTTCTTTTCGTAACAGGTAAAGACAAGAGATCACGGCTCGGCTCGTGCCCAGAATTTGGATCTGGATTCAAAATCCTGATTTGACACCTGATAGAGTTTGTTAAATAGTGGTTCTTTTTGTAAAGACAAGAGATCACGGGTCGACCCATGTCCAAAATTTGGATCAGAATTTGAAATCCTGATTTGACTGAAAGAGTTTTATTTTTATTTTTATTTTTTTTATTTTTAAATAGTAGTTCTTTTCTTAACATTTTTTTAGGTAAAGACAAGAGATCACGGGTCGGCCCGTGCCTAGAATTTGGATCAGGGTTCAAAATCTTTTTTAGGTAAAGACAAGAGATCACGGGTCGGCCCGTGCCTAGAATTTGGATCAGGGTTCAAAATCTTGATTTGACACCCGATAGAGATCACGGGTCGGCCCGTGCCTAGAATTTGGATCAGGGTTCAAAATCTTGATTTGACACCCGATAGAGTTTTTTAAATAGTAGTTCTTTTCCTAACATTTTTTAGGTAAAGACAAGAGATCACGGGTCGGCCCGTGCCTAGAATTTGGATCAGGGTTCAAAATCTTTTTTAGGTAAAGACAAGAGATCACGGGTCGGCCCGTGCCTAGAATTTGGATCAGGGTTCAAAATCTTGATTTGACACCCGATAGAGTTCACGGGTCGGCCCGTGCCTAGAATTTGGATCAGGGTTCAAAATCTTGATTTGACACCCGATAGAGTTTTTTAAATAGTAGTTCTTTTCCTAACATTTTTTAGGTAAAGACAAGAGATCACGGGTCGACCCATGCCCAGAATTTGGATTAGAATTTGAAATCCTGATTTGACACCTAATAGCTCCGACACTCTCCAACATCCTCTGCCATATGCTGCTTTTGTGCTCACTCACATGTATCCCAGAAAATTTCTAGAAGGTCACCGAACACAGAATTGATCTAAGTAAAACATACTTAATCATAAAGTTTCTATGATTAAGCCACTAAAAAGGAAGATGCATTTTATTGGTATAGGTAGTAACTTTCATTTAAGCCATTCATAGTCATTCTATTCTCAAAATCACTATCATTCAAATATGATCCCGGTTCATTCATATACTCATCCTTTACTTTGGTATCGCATCACGAAACAATATTTACTTCTAGATAGTTTCTTGCCGTGTTGAATAACATCTCATATTAACTCGAGCACGTAGGATGAGGTATCCCGTTCATAATTTCCATATTTAGGCTCGGATTTGATTTCCGTTTCTATTCATGTTTAAATTAGCTTTCCTTGAATACCAATATTATTGTGATATACTATTTTTTTAACATTTATCTTTTTAAAATTTTTACAACTAATTTATTTATAAAAAAAAAAAAAACCATTTTTAAACGTATTATTTAAAGAATAGAAAAGTATTTCTAAATTTACACAAAAATAAAAATAAAAAATAAATTAATAATATTAAAAGTTAAATAATAAATAATAATATTTTTTTATTAAACCTTTAAACTATATTTAAAAATAACTAATCTTTTATTAATGAAATAAACAAACAATTTACCCGACCCATCTTTTTTTTCTCAAGATCTAATTCTAAGCTAGAGTGTGAGCCGTTCTTCGAGTAAGACGGCCCAGATCCCCTGCTAGCAGATATTGTCCTCTATGTGCTTTTCCTGAGGACTTTAAAATGCTTCTGGAAGGTTTCCACACTCTTATAAATGGTGATTTGTTCTCCTCCCCAACCAATGTGTGAACATCACAATCCACCCCTTCAGGGCCCAGCATCCTCGCTCGCACTCTTTCCTTCCTCCAATCGACGTGGAACCGCCCCCAAATCCACCCCTTTAGGGCCCAGCGTCCTTACTGGCACACCGCCTTGTGTCTACCCCCTTCAGGGAACAGCGAGAGGGATGACACATCATCCGGTATCTGGCTCTGATACCATTTGTAATAGCCTAGATCCACCGCTACCAGATATTCTCCGTTTTGGACTTTTTGGGGGTGGTCATTGTGATGTCCCACATTGGTTGGGGAGGAGAACAAATCACCATTTACAAGAACGTGGAAACCTTCCCCTAGCAGACACGTTTTAAAGCCTTGAGGGGAAGCGCGAAAGGGAAAGCCTAAAGAGGACAATATTGGTAGCTGATTTTATCAAAATTTAATTAGTAATTTATTAGATTTTAAAAAAAAAAAAAAAATTAGGGTAATTAGATTAACTTTCAAAAATGATAATAATTCCAAGCTTCCACCGAGAAAGTTGGTGGCGCGAAAACAACGGCCACCGGCGGGTCCACACCGGTTAAAATTCCTAAACGAAACCGTTTTTTTTTCCTCATTACAATTATTAATTTTCGTAATCTGTTTCTCTTGCTAATAAATTTCATCAAGTTTTTTTTTGAAGAATTAATTTCGTTGATTTACTACCGGATTTGAAACTCTCTGACGATCTGCCTGCCGGCGACGTATTTGCTGTCGATCTCTTCCTCTCCGACGTTTCATCTTAACCGTTGTGGCTGTGATTGAATTCCTAAAAAGATCGAAGTGATTTGGATTTTCGGTAGCATTTTCTTGCTCGATTTGTTGTGCAGTGGAAGAGGAGTTGAAGTTTTTGTTCGCAAGTGAGAAATCTATCCCTAGCTTTCTCGAGTTTGATTTCTGTTTTTTTTTTTTTTTTGTTCTGCTTGGAGATTCTTGAGTGAATAGATGGATAATCTGATGTTTCAGTTGAAGTTTCAATTCACAAGTGAGAAATCTATCCCTCGCTCTCTCGAGTTTGATTTCTGGTTGTTTTCGTTTTTTCCTTGGAGATTCTTGAGTGAATAGATGGATAATTTGATGTTTGGTTGATGAAATTCTGGAGATGCTTTTGGTTATAAGCG